AATGTAGGGTTACCAAAACGCACTGGCTTTTCTATATATTAGAAGTTGTTAATCTAACTGAATTTTACCAATAATTATCCTATGAATGATCTTAATTTTGATTGGCTCACTAAGGAATTTACCGACATTTGACTGCCTCCACTGCACTTTTCTGTCTCTTTGTTGTTCAAGCTTGATTTCACAAAATTTATTTATTTCAAATAGCTATGAAATGTGAGGTTAAGTATTTGTTCGTACATTATTGGCTGACAGGAAAGAAGAGTATTGTTACGCCTTCGTTAGTTAATTTTCCGTAAAAACTATTTCCGAAGAAACTTTACCGATACAAGTTCTGTCTTAAATAAAACTGGTTTATTCTTTCTGAATACAACTTTGCGATACACTTAATTTCCACAGTCGCGCTACAACAAACGCTATAATTCACAACGAACGTCTCACGTGCTCAGCAATACGTCTCTCTCTGTCCGCAGTTCAATTACGCATTACATTGTTGCCGTCACGTCTTGACCGTCTTATATATAAAAGAATACCGAAATCTATTAAACGCTAGAGCATTCAGAAACCTTCGAGAATATGACGTGTTATCAGGGTCACGTGACCCCCGCTGTCGTAACAGTATATTATAATACTAGCGTATAGCCCGTCAAATATGACGAAGCAGTTATTACCACCCCACCCCATAGTATACCCATGTGAAATGGTTGTCTTAAATTCATAACGATTTCAATAATAAATGTGATTTGTTTTCCTCCATAAAGCGACACCTTGGTTCTTCAAGCGTCTCCTTTGGTTACTGATAACACAAGCTTGCGATTTTACACTTCATAAAAGTTGTTTTTGTTTTAATAACAGATTTTCCATAATTCAGCTACACAGATTTCGAAAATAATATTTTTTTTATCATGTAAGGAATTTTTACAAATCGGGGGAAAAACTCTTACTTCGATCAAATTATTATTTCATTTACCGCAATGAACATTTTTTATTATTATGTTTGTTAAAAAAATACAAACAAACTAAAGAAAAGGGAAGATCATTGATGTCAAATGAATATGCATCCTCATTTATTCTGATTTTTTGTGTGAAATCTACGTCTTTTAGTCTCAAAACTACGTGTTGTAGTCTTTCTTTTATGTATTGCGTTATGACATTTTGTGAAAAATCTGTATGTGATGGAGAAAAAGTGGATATAATTTTCAGATTCAGCCAACAGGAATAACTGTAGAACTGTATATTTCAAGACAATAAAACCATCACCGGCCTGTGTAATTCATGTATCTTACATATGCAAAAGTGAAATTCATATTAATCTAACTTCTATCATAAAGTAGTGTTAGAGGGGAAGAAAATACTTAAGACAAAACTTCAAATTTCCGATTGGCAATTCCTTCACAACAAAACATTGAATCCCTATACAGTGATATTAGCCAAGAAAAAAATTGATAAATACAGTACCTGACTAACAAGGAACATCACTTATCGAAAACGCATAAAGTCGGTTGGATTAGTATATTGTTACATATCTGCTTGTTTGTTAATTTCCGGTAGAATTTCCGAGAAACTACAGCGATACAAGTCCTTTCTTGATTAACTCAGGTTATTCTTCTTCGATACAAACTTTTAGTAATACACAGAATTTCCACAGTCACTTTAAACTTAACAACCTTTATGACAAATGCTATAAATCACAGCTTTTCTCTTGACTTAATTATCTATCTGCGGCTGGCTTTCTTTGCCAGGCTTATATATATATATAAGGAGGGCATCTAGATCACACTCGAGCTGGCGGGAAAATTCATGATCCTTCGAGAAATTCCAGGGCGCATGCTCCCAGCGTCGCGTGACTTCTGCTGTTGTGACACTGCCCCTTCCTTAGTATTGTTCGATCCGAACAATAGCCACTTACATTTAACCAATAGATAATTAACAATAATTTAATTAAATGTACAGAATTTACAAACACAAAATTAAAATTAAACAAAGTCTCTCAATTTTACAGGACGTTTCTTCTTCCGTACTGGTCACTATCTCATTGGCTTCTGCTTCACGTGGGGTTCATCTGCTCCATCAGGAAACGTCCCATTATTAGTAGCAGTCACAT